TGAAAACAGGGAGGTTAAGCAAGGGTTAACACAAAAATCTTAGGCTGTAACAGAGATACTGTATGTAGAAAAGTAATGTTGAGTTGGGCAAATCACATATAACAACTGGTCAAGCTCAGCTTTGAATCCAAGGAATCCCAAAGAACTGTACCCAAAGTACAACACTGAATAGTGTAATGTGGATGTTTGTGGAAAGGAAAAGAAGAAAGGCAGAGAATATGTCACAGAGGAGCACAAAAAAAGTGCAAGACTGTGGGGTTAGCTTCTTGTTGAGTGCAGCGGCATGACATGTGTTAGAAGAAAAAGAAACAAAATAAATGGGAGACAAGTTACGACTATGTTGTATAATCTTTTCCAGTCACTATCTCATCAATAAGGCTTAACAACATATTTTGAAAATTTGTAATCATTACTAAATCACTTCTAATTTCTCATTCTTGCAGAGTTACTTTCATTAGTATGGTTAGTATTTATTTCTTCTTCTACATTTAAAGTGTTTCAAAGTATAAACTTTGTTCACTTACTAAATGCACATGTTATTTCCAGTATCATATCCAAAATTTGTCATTTAATAAAATTTGACTCATAACAACTATATTTCTTTGAGAATAGAATCATACTATTTAGGACTACCAATGTCTTTCTTTTATTTTTAATTTTTTTAGAAAATAGATACCAAAATTTTCTTCTGAAGCAGATCTAAGTCAATTTAAACCTCCAACATTTTAACAGTTGATCTTGTTCATGATTTGCACTATGTAGAGGATTCTTGTGCAAGTAGACATTGCTAAATCATAGAAAGACAGCAGTTAATGAAACATTAAAGATAATTACGACAACTCTAGGGCTCTGTTGGTTTAGTGTTAAGGAGTTGCTCTGCCTACTCAAAGGCAAGAATTTAGAATCTATAAACTGCTCTCCAGGAGACAGATGTGCAATTTCTGTCCATGCAATTCAGTTTCTGAAGTCCTGTTGGTGGATCAACTTTGAGTTGGTTTACACAAGAACAGTAGCAACACAAAAACTATAATGATATTTTAGATTAGTTCTTAAAATGTAACTATAATTTGTGCTGATAAATACATATACAGAAAAGGCATAAATTTTATTACAGTTACCAACTAATGTCTTTCTCTGGGGAAGAGAGGTGTTAGAAATATGAGAGTTTTCAGTTTAACATGTACTGTTTAAATTATTTCTCTTTTAAAAAGGCTATTTCTATATATTAGTTGCTACAACTAGCACCATAAATCCATATACATCTTAATTATTGATCAAGTTAACATATCTAATTGATTTCACTTGGATATATTACTAAATTCTTAGAAGTCCTAGTGACATAAACATTAAGCACTCTCCTATAAACAAAAAGGTCAAGAGTTCATACAGATATGATTGTAACAGAAAAACCTGGTGATCTGCCCTTGTCAAGATTGTTGTTGTGGTGGTGGTGGTGGTTGTTGTTAAGGGCTGTCAAATCATAGATGACTCATAGCACCCTATGAACAAAAGACCTGAATACTTGTATAACTGTCATCTTTTCTCCAAGTTCATAGAGTTTCCAGAGGCAAGCTATTTCAGAAGTGGATGCCATTCTTGCTTCCAAGCTTGTTTTAACTGGGGAGCTCCACCAATTAAATGTCCATGTATCACATTTGATACATCAGTGTCACAATGTTTAGCATCACGGCAACCACAAGTTACCTCTGTACATCAAATCGACAGACCAGTGCTATACCACTTAGAAGAAAGTTTGACCAAAACCAATTAAAACCAGGCCTAAGGGCAGCAGATTAAAATCACCCACTTTTGGTTTGGTAGCATAACTTTCTATCCACGAGGCCCACAGAGCTCTCTCTATGTTGATGTTGTTGTCCTTAAGTGTCATGGAGTTGTAGAGGACTCATAGAGACCCTAAGAATGAAAGACCTGAACAATTACATAACTTTCATCGTTGCTCCAAGTTTATAGAGTTTCCATAGGCAGGCTATTTTGGAAGTGGATGGCACTCCGGCTTCCAACCTTGTTTTAATCAGGGTACTCCACCAAACACCCTAGTAAACTCTACAGGAAATTATATTTTATCATATGAGGCCATACTGAGTCAAAAGCAACTCAGTGGCACTCAATAACAGAAAAGGCTAAGGGTAAGAATGCGCAGGTGTGAAACCAATGGGTTACACAATTTGGTAGGTATGGGGGGGGGGTAAAGGAAATGGGAAATACCTGGTGGGGACCTGAAAAGCAGGGCAATGATGGACATAGTCCAATGGTGATTAATTTTATAAAACACAATGCATGGGAATGATTGGATGAAACAGAATGTAAATGAAAAATAGTGTAAAACACAGTGTTTATGACTTTGTAAGCAAACCAATATAAAGCAAAAATTAAAAAAATAAATGAAAGACGCATGAGATTACTGATCTGCAGTATATGTGAGCACAAAACCCTGCTGATAAAAAATAATAACTGATGCAATGTTTGTGTATTTTGAATTATTAGTTAATACATGTGATGATGTTCTGCTGTGATTAATATGTTAAATGCAGTATATTGTACAAAAGAAAATGTAACAATTAATTGAAACACAATTTCTAAAAATTCACATTTAAACTTTATTTTTATTTTATTTTAAGAATACATTCACTTTACTGTGGAGAAAGAGATCTCTGGTGGCCCAATGGTAAGTAGTTGCACTGCTAATCTAAAAGCATGCAATGCAATGCCATTAAAATGCACGAGCTGTTTCATGTCTCCTCCTATGTGGTTTACTGCCTCTGAAAACCTGCTAGATGGTCAATTCTGACGTGACAGCTCCTAACAACAATACTATGGGAATTATCTTTCAAGCAAGTTTGTATCATCTGAATATTACAGGTTTTTCATGAGTCTTCCACCAATCCTAAAACCACATTTTCTTCATATAACTCATCATTTTGGAGGAGGATTTTTTTCAGCATATAGGTTGACAGGAAGAGAGGATACAAATCTGATATACACTTTTTGTGATTCTAAACTATGCAGTGTTCGCTTGTTCTTTTCAGACAACTTCTTGGTATGTGTATGGATACACAGAGGATTCTCATTCTTCTTAATGTTAGCCATAGTTTGCTGTGATATACACAACCAAATGCTTTAGCGTAATTAATAAAACACAAGTAAACACCTTTTTAGTATTCTCCTCTTTTACTCTATATCTGTTAAACATCAGCAAAGATGTTTCTCTTTCTATGTCTTTTTCTGAATACAGCTTGAACTTTCCATAGAACCTGCTGATGTACTGTCCTAGGCCTCCTTAAATAATCTTCAGTAGTATTTTAGTTGTTTGTGAGTTTATCAACATTGTTTGCAATGGGAACAAGTAGGGATCTCTGCAATTATTTGTCCAGGTAGCTATCATCCAAATTTCTTGACATAAAGTGAAAAAGACCTGCAGCACTTACAGAACATCAAAAACCACTACCTTCAACAAGGTTTGCTTCTCAACATCAAGAAAACAAAATTCCTCAGTACTGATCAATAAGCAATATTATAATGACGAAAAGATTGACATTGTCAAGTATTTTATTTTACTTAATTCACAAATCAATCACAATTCACAAATCAATCTTCATGTAGCAGCAGTTAAGAAATCAAAAGACAAGTTGAATCCAACATCCTGTAAATGACCTCTCCAACATGATAAAGTGCAACAATGTTAGTTCAAGGACTTATGTGCACTTGATCCAAGCCATAATGTTTTCAATTGCTCCCTATGCATATAAAAGTCTGACCATGGGTAAAGGTGACTGAAGAAGAATCACTACCTTAGATCTCTGGTACTGGTGAAGAATGTTTCATATCACATACTATTACTACTAAAACAACAAAAAAATCTATTGTGGAGAAATGGCAACCAGGATGTCCCATAAAGGCAATGTTGAGAAGTTAAACTTAGTCTTGTATATTTTTTACATGTTGTCAGGACAGACCTGTCCTAGAAAAACAAAACAAAAACAACACATCAAACTGGGCAACACTGAGAGTAAAATAAAGTGAAAAATCCTTAAGATGGATTGATACAGTGACTGTAAAAATAGACTGAAACATTTCAGAGATCATGAGGATGGCAGTAAAAAACAGGTTTTGATCTGTTGCCTCTAGGGTCATTCTGACTGATGGTCAGCTTGACAGTTTCTTACAACAGCAAGGAGAATATGAGCTGATAGGACAACAGATAAGTTAATTATAGAAGAAATAAAACCAGATATATTATTACAAATAAGAATGAAAGATCACTTAAGACAAATAAAAAGAAAAACCAATCACTAGGAAACAATATCACTCTTGGAAAAATGAGACATGAATTCACTTGGATGAATTAATACAATAACCAAAACAATAGGTGTAAGCATAACAATGATCATAAGGACGACGTTGTTGTTGTTGTTATGTGCCGTCGAGTCACTTGCGACTCATAGCGACCCTATGTACAACAGCCCTAAACCCTGCTCTATCCTGTGCCAATCGCATTGCCTCTGACACACCCATCCCGATTACCCCAGTCACTGAATCAATCCACCTCGTTGAAGGACGACATAGGCAAGGTTCTTTCTGTTATGCATATAACTGTAATTACCCACAGTGAATTAGATGGTGACTGGAAAAACAAATACTTTATAAACTTTGGGCATGTTGCTAGGAGGGACTATTCCTTGAAGAAGGACATGATGCTGAGAAAGGTGGAGGGTCCGTAAAGGAAGACCTTCAAACAGGTGGATTGACACAGTGACTGCTGCAATGGGCTCTTGTGTGTCAGGAAGTGTGAGGATGGTGCAGGACAGGACTGGGTTCAGATCTTTTGTTCACAGGATAACTATGAGCCATACTCAACTCGATGACACCTAACAACAACAACAACAACATCACTTGAAGGATTAAAAAAAACATAAAAATTTTTGAAAATCCAAGTTTATTAACACAATATCTTGTTAAAACATGGGTTTCTGCGTGGTTTTTTAGTCGTAATTTCTATGACACATGTCACACTGCCTTCTCAGAGCTGCCTTCATTTCCTTATTCCTCAGACTGTAGATGATAGGATTCAAAGTAGGGGGCACAACTGTGTAGAGCACAGACAGGAGAAGATCTAACACTGAGGGGGAATTTGAAATTGGCTTGACATAGGCAATGCTACCAGATATCATAAAGAGGGCTACAACTATAAGATGTGGAATGCAGGTAGAAAACATTTTTGATCTGCCCTCCTTGGATGGAATTTTCAGGATGGTAGAAAAAATAGACACATAAGATAAAGTAATGGATACAAAACAGATTATTACAAGACTAGTAATAAAAATTGTGATTCCAATTTCTATAAAGATTGCTTTAGCATCTAAGAGGCTTAAGAGTTGTGGGATATCACAGAAAAATTGATGTACTACATTTGACCCACAGAAAGGTAATGAGAATGTTGCTGTCACGTGCATGACCCCCCCAATCACTCCACTTAGCCAGGACATGACCATCATCTTCACACAAGTACCATGGTTCATGATGACTTCATAATGCAAGGGTTGGAAGATGGCCACATAGCGGTCATAGGACATCACTGTAAGGATTGCTACCTCAGTACATGCCAAGTCCATGAAAAAGAAGGCTTGCAGGGCACAACCAGAAAAAGAAATAGAATTATCGTGAGTTAAGGAATTGACAATGAATTTGGGAACTGTGACAGATATGTAGCAAAAATCTAAGAAAGATAAGTTTCTCAAAAAGAAATACATTGGAATTTGAAGCTGGTCATCCACACTAGTAAGCATGATGATTAACAAATTCCCCAAAAGAGCTGCTAAATAAACCAATAAAAATAAGCCAGCATGTAAGGTCTGAATATCCAACGAGTCTGAAAATCCCATCAGTAGAAATTCTGTAACTTCAGTTCTGTTTAGATCATTTGTAGTTGCTTCATTTATTTCTATAAAGAGAAAATAGTGAAAGCAACAATTAGATATGGGCCAGTTAAACTTAGCAACTCAAAATTTTGTTTCTGAAGCAAATAAATCTGTAGTAATTAGATTAAAATATCACTTGGATGTAAACATAAGTGTGAATTTTCTAAACCTGAATCTCAATGGCATATTGTAGTCCTTTGTACTGGATGTATATTTTCAGTAAATGTGGGCTGATACTGAAAAGAATACATATAATTTCTCTCAACTATTGCTCACAGTCAATTACAGGTCGACCTACTTGTCTACCCTTCTCACTACTGCGCTTGACCGGTCAGAAGAAAAAAAAAAAAAAAGAAAAGAATACATATAATTAAAATAAAAACATAAAAGAAAATAAAATCATAAAAATACAATAATCAAAAAATAAATACAGCGGTGATAAAATTAAACAGGACTACATATATAGAGAGTATTGTCTCCATTCATTTGATAAACCTATTACTTGGAAGCATGTTATTTACTTCTTTTATCTTTAAGTATATCCATTTAAATAGTCTTTCCTCATTCTCTGGAATTTTGTAATGAAATGTAAGCAATTTGTAAAAGAAATCTTACAATATTTCAATGAGGTAACATTTACAAACTCAAAGTACTTTCTAGAATAGAAATATTACTATTTGTAATAAGAATAATGCAAGGTTCTTAAATATAATGGTAATTAAGAAACAATTCCAGAATTCAAAACTTACACAACTTAAAAAATAACATATTGTTGTTTGGTCAAACACAACTACTAGTTATCTTAGGAACAACAGATTTGACCTTTGTCCTGACCTGTGACATCCTCTTCATATCTCACATTCTAGAGTCTATTGCTGTAGGCAATAGATGCGTCAATTTACTGTGTCAACCCATCTTGTTGAGGATCTTCCTTTATTTCATTGACCCTCCACCTTTTTAAGCATAATGTTCCTTTCCAAAGATTAGTCACTCTTAACAACGTGACCAAATTACATGAGACGAATAGTAATTGTTATTGTCTCTAAGAAGTATTCTGGTTAAACTTTGTCCAAAATATCTTTTTTATGTTTTGGCAGTCTATGTAAAAATGATGAAGGGATGGAGAAAGAGAGGAAGAGCATTGATGAGATGGATTGATACAGTGACTGGGGTAATGAGGGTAAGGTGTGTCAGAGACAGTAAAGTTGGCACAGGATAGAACAGGTTTCAGCACTGTTGTCCTTAGCATCGCTATGAGTCACAAGCAACTCAATGGCACATAACAACAACAATGAGATATTCTGTATTCTTCTCCAACATTGTAACTCAAAGACATCTATTCTCCTTCTCTCATCCTTATTCATTGTTCTCAGATGCAGAGTTTTTGTTGTTGATTGCCTTGAAGTCAAACACGACTCAGGGACCCTGTGAACAAAAGGCCTGAAGCTCCTCTACAACCATGGACATGAAAGTTTATAGAGTTTCTGAAGGCATGTTGTTTAGGAAATGGATTATTGAAAAGACCATGGCCTCAATCAGGCAAACTTTGGTCTTTAAACAGAAATCTTTGTTATTTAGTATTTTTGTGAGTTCCTGGATAGCAAACTTCCCCAATGAAATACACCTTTTGACCTCTTGACTGCTGGTACCAAAGATGATGCTCTCCACATACTTGTAAATGGAAAATAGCGTTTATTCTGTACCAAATGATAGCATACCAGAAAAATGGAGAAGTATTTTTAAACATCTACGCTGCTTAGGAAACCTCTCTTGGTAAAAATAAAGAATATTCTCTGTCTGTTCATCTTACTGTTTTATCCACCTATCCAATGATCACTGTGATATATCCTAACTTTGTCCTGCCTGATTGTCTTTCAGCCAATTATGGATTGTGTAATCTGAATTCCAGTGCTAATTGAATAAAAACATTTTCTTCTTCACTACCTGGAGTGTAAAGCCTCACTTCGTTTATATGAATGTTTTCCCAGTCTCAATCAATGCTATGCTTCAATAAATAAATCTCTTTTGCAGGCTTCCACAGCAATTTCAAGCAGACTCTGTGACATTACTTTAAAACTGGGCTACTTTCTGATGACCCCTAGAAGACAGGCTGGCTTATTTATTTGGGCTTAAATCTTCTAGCACAGATTCTCCTCCCAGAGTAATGTTAGTTGTTATTTGCCATCAAGTTGGAACTAACACATCGCTCATCCATCAGAAGGTTTTCAGCTGTTGTGGCAGAGATTGTTAATCTTTTTTCCTCAAAGCAGCTAGTGGATTTGAACCTTGTTCCTTGGCTTGGCAGCTCAACACCCTTACCACCAGACTGCCAGAGCTCCCAAATAATACTTGAGGGGCACCACAAGGAACAGTTTCTGAAGCTGGCTCTCACTACCTTCTAGATGCCTTGGTGGATTGGAACATATTTTTTGTTCATGCTTCCACTTGATATAATGGATGAAACACTTTGATGTCTCATTTCCAACTATTATTGCACCCCATAACCTACATGACCCATTTCACCCCCATCTGGCCACTCAACCATTTACACATGGTTTAGTGTTGCCTGGCTGTTTCTGAAAAACAAACACAACTAGGTTTATTGGAAAATCATATGGACTAATGTCAGCAACCAGTGATAGAAAGCCAAACCAAGTTAATTTTCATGAAGTTTCTCAGGAAAGCTGATAAAGAAGGCATTATCTCATTGAGACTTTGCAGAGTATTTTTACATACTGGTGACCTAAATCTGATACGTGAGAAAGAGTGATCAGAACCATATGGAATAAAAAGTGAAACAATCTGGACTACTTCATCACAGTAAGAAACAGTGTCAGCAAGCACAGCTACATGGAGGTAATTATTCAGAAAGGATTTTTAAAGATAAGACTAGAGGTGAGTTAAAACCAGAGAACACATTTTAAGATCCTTCAACAAGTCTTAAAGGCTGTCCCTTGCAAGGGAGAACCTAAAGTGCTTCAAGATCTACTGGTTAATGTTTGCAACCATTGACCCTGGTTTGCAGATAGAGGAACCTGAAATGTAGAACTTCAGGAAAAAAGATATTTTTAAAAGGAAAGAAGTGATCTTATTAGTGTCATAACCACTTGAAGTCTTGTCAAAACTGCTTCACGTCCTCTACCTGTTAACAAAGAGACAAGCAGTGCAACCTCCTTCAGCAGAAGAAAAAGAGGCCAAGGAAGACAGTCCTCCTCCACCATCATCTGAGTTTACCAGTTGTCCTCTCATAAATAATTCTTCTAACTCTATCATGCAAACCTGTGTGGGTAAAGTGTGGCCTATTTAAGATGAGATGCTAAAAGCAGCTTTGAAGGTTAGTAAAAGATCATTTAGACATGGTCACATTGAACCTTCCACCAGTGCATGAAACTTTCCTATTTTCACCATTACTTAAAAAAATCAGGAAAATGAAGCTTTGTGCATGATTTAATTAATGCCATAATTCAACCCACGGGACCCATACAAGAAAGTGTTCTTTCCCCTCTTATGATGCCTGAATCGTAGCCTATAATCATTATTGATTTTAAAGACTATTTTGCTACTACTAGCTTCTCAGATAAATTTGTTTTTTTCTATTCTGATTTTAAATAATAACCAGTCAGTAAGAAAGTATCAGTGCAAAGTATTGTATTCCAGTATGATTAACAGTCCTGAAATGTGTCAATATTTAATAATCAAGTTTAAAGTTGTCAGGCTTTCTCCCATGTAAAATGTATCATCATATGAATTATATTCTTTTAGCTGCACCTGATAATGTCCAAGTTTAGTCTCTGTCTTCTCATGGTTTAAACAGTACTAAGCAATTGTTAATTGCAGAAGAAAAGGTGCAAATACATCTCCCTTGGAAGTATTGAGGATTCCATGTCTTTGAGCATGCTATCAGACCTCAAAAAATAACTTTGAGATTTCATGAATCTATGACTTTAAATGAGTTACAAAATCTTTTGGGAAATATTAATTGGTTATAGGAATTCCTACATATAGATTAGCATGCCTATTTAATCTCCTAAAAGGGAATCCCTAATTTAACTCTCCTTCAGTATCTAACAACTGATGCTCTTAAAGAGATAGAATATATAAATACTGTCCTTCAAGGAAAACATTTTTCTTTAATTGTAGTATAGGTCCTTACTGGTTATTTTGTCATTAACACACCACATAGCCCAACAGGACTCATAGGGAAAGTAAATCTAATTCTAAAAATAATTGAATAGATGTTTCTAGAATATACATATAAGAAAACTTTCAATCACCCTATAAAATTAATACAATTACCTAGAAAATAGGCATATATGTTTTCAACAACAAACAACCAGAGATCCTCATTATATTTGTTTAACTCTTAAAAATGAAGATTTTAATTTTATTTTCTAACAAAAAGTATCCTAGAAACTAAATTTAGTGTGTGTGTGTGTATATACAGAGAGAGAGAGAAGTAAGATTTTCCCTGCCTTCTGACAAACTTCTTCAATTCTTGGTTCAAAAGCCCCCCTTTTTAGCTTAAAAATCGACCACTTACATATGCCCTTACTGTATTTCTAGACAATTCTGTATGTACTGGTAAGGCATTACATAAAAAAATAAATAAATAATGTTCCAGATCTAAAGCAAATTTTACTTTCACAGAACAAGCTGAATTAGGCGCTCTTTTTTGAACTTTACAAACTTCCTAATTCATTTCTTAATCTTAGAGCAGATTCAAACTATGTGATTTATTCCTTGCAAAATATTGAAACTGTGTATATCAAAGATATTCCTAATCAATTGTTATTACATCAATTCATTTTGGTTCAGCAATTATTAAATAAATTATGCCACCCTATTTATTTTACTCATATTCTCTCTTACTCTCAACTACCAGGTCCTCTTACAGAAAGAAATGAACATGTTTATCAAACAGTAGCTTTTCCTGTTGATATTTGACCTGCTTTAGCCTCTCATCAATACTTTCATAAATATGCTCTATCTTTTCTGTTACCTTGAAGCAAGCTCGTCAATATTTCCATACTTGTTTCGCCTATCAATCATTTCAAGGTATCTTTCTATTTTCTAGAGTAAATCTTGAGGGTTAGAACCTAATCCAATTTGGCAAATGGATATTATTCATATATCTGAATTTGGTAAACTGAAATATATTCTTGTTTCTGTGAAGTTATTTTCGGGTTTTATGCATGCCACTGCTTTAGGATAAGAAGCATACTATTACTCAAAATGTTATTTCTCACTTACTAGAAGCATTTGCAGACATGGAATGTCCACAACAAATTAAAACAGTCAATGAGCCCTTGCTCTATTTTCACTACATTTTAAACAATTCTGTGCAGAGAACACATAGCATGTTACTGGAATTCCTTTTGATCCCACAAAACCAGCATTTATAGAATGCTAACATAAAAATTATAAAAATATAAAACAAAAAAGGGAGAAGATGGGATATTAAAGATAGGTTAAACAAAACACGTTTTAATGTCATTTTTTTAAAAAAATCTTAATAAAAAAGGGAAAACATGCTCAGAGTCATGATAGTGACCCACCTATGGGCATGGGATGCAAAAGAGTTTGGATAAAACCATTTGCTTGATAGTGCTTAATGGGATGATCGCTTTCAATTAGTGACTTTGGATTGAGGGTTTGGTTGTGATCTCACCCACACAGGAGCTGTCAACCAAAAGGAACAAGATTCACATGAGGTAGAAAGATCTCATGAAGGACAAGCTTCATTGTCTTCATCTGGCTTCTCGGATGTGGTTTCCATGAATGAACTCTATACCATTCCAAGGATCAGGCATACCAATTTGGCAGAATCTCCTCCTTAGGACTAGTTAAAAACTTGAGATGTCAAATAATCCATTCATAAAAAGAGCTAGAATCCCTCCTAATCCTGGGAATAATTTTTTGCCTGTCAAAAGTGCAGGTTCTCTGAAAGTGCAGGTTGGTGTTTTTATGATTATATCCTTATTTCTACCACTAACTGATGAATATTGGATTGGACTAATATTATTTCCCCACTTTTATTTAAGCCTGTCTTCTGGTGGTATTCAGATCTCACTTTAACACTAATAACACTGCATGGACAGGAAGAGTCTGGATCCCTCCAAGAGAACCTCTAGAAAATCACACAGTATGGATCCAATTTAAAAATCATACACTTTTTTGTCCTAATACTGTCCATGTGTGTATTATCATGCTAGAATAAAGTTCCTCTGTGTACAATTTAAAATTCAAGACTATTTATATTATCAGCCATAAACTGTTTACCATGTGAACAATCTTATTTTTACTAGTGGCCCTGGAGTAAATGGATCTGAATTTAACTCACAAGTTCTCAATATCCCTAAATGTGACATCAAAGAAAATTGGAAAGATTATCAAAATTCTTTTAAATGAATCCCTTATAAAATGAAAGTGCCCACATGTGAAAATTACACTACAAACTTTTGAGTTAGTGAACTGGCCACCCAACAGAACTTTGTGTTCTCAATAATCAATCATAATATTCCTTTTAAGTCTCCGTCCCATAGGTCCATATTTGGAGTGGTGCAGAACTGTTTTAGAAATAAAGTATAAAAACGTATATAATCCCTGACATATGGATTTATGAAGATTAGAATTTTCTTTCTTTCAGAGAAATTTATCTCATGGTAATTGTAGTCATCATAATTTTAGAATTTAAGTCTTACACAAATTAATTCTCAAGAAGTCATGGTGTTCATTCCACATCCCTTTGTCTTATTAATATCTTCTGCATCTCTAACTATTGAAAAGGAGAATACCAGCTATACAGTTACTGTATATTAGTTGATAAATTACTTTCATTACTTATCAAACTATAATCCAACAAAATGTTAATACTATTATGCTTCTAAGAAGAGTGTCAGAAGACTGGGTTCCTTTTAACCTTGCTCGACCCTGGCAGGAACCTTCTGGGTTACATAATTTAAAAGAAGCCTTTAGAAAGACTACTGATTAAAAGATTTTTGTTTACTCTTATTGCTTTTCTTATATCTACCATTGTTATTTTAGCTACTGCCATGGTTACAGGAGTGTCTTTAACAAACTTTATACATACTCCTCAAGTAACAGAGCATGTTATGGCTAATATTACACAAACCATGTTTAAAGAAATTAATATTGATCAAAAAATTCTAAACTGCTTTTAATCTTTAGAGACTGCTACAATGTAGCTTGGAGAACAACAGGCTTTAATAATAGGTGGTTATTTGAAATGTGATTGGTAACATATTTTTATAACTCCTCTTACTTATAATAGTTCTCAAAATAATTGGATATCTAGAAGGTCAAGTTACTTCATCAACAAAAGAATTGCATGTCTAAATGCAAACAATTTGTCAACAGAAGGTTTGCAAAATTCTTTTCCATTTTTAAATCCTGCTACCTATATAGCTGGAATAGGAAATAAAGTATGGACTTATGGACTTTGTTTGGAATTATGTATTTGTATGGTCTGCTTTTAATTCTATGGCTTGGGAAACCAGAACCTCCCTGAAACACCTACATAAAAAGTGTGAAAAACATTCATCTTATCTAATGTGTCTAGAAGAATCCATACAAGAACAACTAAAAGGGGAGGTGTAGAGCATAAACTAACAGGATCTAAGGTTATCTGGATCGGGAGAATTTAATAAAAAAAAAAAACTCATTTAAAGAGAAGACTGTTAAGTGCATATTGTGGTAATACAAGGAAAACAGTCCTAAGTAAACACAGAATTGTTCAATAGAACAAAGATATGCATTAATGACTAAATGCAACATGCTGACTTATCATCTGTGTGTTTGGTGGAAAAAACATTCTCTTGCTATCTCAAAATGCTGATATGGATGAGATCTGATAGATGGGACAGGTCAGCAAATAAGAAACAGTGAGCAAAGTTTATCTTGTTACTCTATGGTCAACATGTGGTTACACTTGTAAGAGTCTAAAATAAAAGCTAAGAGGACTATAGCTCCGGAGGACACTCAGCCATAAGGTCCTCTCTCCCCTTAGAGCACAACTAAAGTCTTAAGCAGTTTGTGCAGTCCCCAGGCACTTTTCTGCTGGTCAAAGAAATGCAACAACACATAATGTTTAAAATGTCTTTTTTTTTTTTAAGTCTAATAACTATGTATTTGTGTTTAATGAATAGAAATGAATTTCTACACTATAGTCTTTTTATTCTACATGAAAGTCTAAACAGGAGCACTCAATGTGTATGTAAAAAGGAAAAACTGACAAAGGTGGCTTAACTCTATTTTAAGGTACTGGTGTGAATCTAGAATTCACATTGCATTAAATAGCATTCAGATAGAAATTCAAATAGCATTTCATCCAACCTTGTTGGCCTAGGGTGAAGTGTAAAGCGAGCTATTGCAGGTCATACTTTTGTCCTTGAGATCTGGCAGATGAAGGCTATCTTACTCTATTTCCAAAGGACCTTTTACATTATGTTCACATGAAGCAATATTCCATAGCTTATGTCTGATGAGCTTTGATGCACAGCATTGTCAATTCATTTTAATAAAGTACTCCCAGAAACTTTCCCATCGCACATATCAACAGCAACAACAACTCCCAGAAACACACATTAATTAAGGAATAACTTTTACTACTTTGTTATTTAGAAAAACTGCATAAGAAAAAGTAGAAGGAAAAAATTCTGACTGTGTAGAAGAATTAACTCACTTATAGGAGCCTTTTAAGAACTACTCAAAGTATCACTAACTATATGGAGGGGTGTATGTGTTAGAATTCTTAGCTGGATCCTACATCTATTCAATTTCTGATAATCAACATTAAGGATCTTAATATGAATACTATCATGTAAGATCGGAGGACACTGGAATTGCCTACATGGCTATCACTTTTTAAAAAATAAGTATATATACATATGTAAAAAATATACAGAATATCTTTTACACACAAAGCATACCCACACACGTCTTGTCATTTTCACCATTGAAAACAAAACAAAACAATACAAAACAAAAAAACGAAAAAACCCACATCTAATCCACTTCCATAATAGCTTGCCTCTGGAAACGCTATGAACCTGGAGAGAGGATGAAAGGCACCCAAGCGTCGAGGACTCTGCTTTATAGGGTCGTTATGAGTCGCCTGCGAGTCGATGGCACTTAACAACAACAACAACAATGCTACTATATACTTATAATTTTATTCTTGGACACCGGCCCTCTCTTTCTTGTGCCATACCAATATATATTTTCTCATTTCCTAATTCTAAGCCCATTACTAATATAATGAAATAAGTTAGTGCAATATTTAAAAGTTTTGATTCTTTGCCTTTAAACTTTGTCAACTATAATATAGCATTTCATAAATGTAATCTTTTAACAGAAAAAGAAAATAAAATTCTTATAGTTTTATTTTATTCAAATTGATAGTACACTACTTTATTAGAACTTACTGCATGGCATGTGCTGATTTTTGCTGAACTTGGCCATTAACAACTTGACTCTTTCAAAATTCCTCTTTTTTTTCCCTGAGAAGAACCTTCAATTTTCTTGAAAATAATATATCACTATTTTGTATTACCTTGACCTCACAATAGAGATGAAATTCTTAAATTAGAAGTTTAAATATCTTTATCTTCCTCTGGATAAGGGAAAATTAATTTTCTGGGTATCCCATATGGTGTCAACTTGGTCATGATTAAGCATTTTGTAATAAAACAGTGACGAAAAAGGAAAATACAGTGAAAGAAACTTCATATTTCTGAGACCTCTAACTGAAAGAGTCTTTTTATTTGAAATATTTCCTCTGAAGATAACAAGTGATGTACGACTTTTATTAATCCCAGTGGATAAGAATAGTATTAATATTTTTATATATAGGATAAAAATTTTAAAAGGAGTTAACTGGCTAGTATAATTTTCCACACACCTAGAGGTTCAATTAGGCAAAATACTAGTGTTAAAAATTAAAAAGGCAACCTCTAATCAAAATATTTGGAAAACAGCCATAAATCCAACTATATATCTTGGGAATAGA